TGATATAATAACAATTAATAATTTTTTGGACAATTTCGAATTTTTTTTAGGTAGAGATTTTATACGTATTCACGTTTTGATCTATGACATGAAATTATGGACATTACAGACAACAATAATCAAAATAATAGGTCAGTTCAAAACATATCTTTATAGACGCATATTAGGAATGGTGTACATACAAAAAGTGTCATCAATAGGTAGTCATTACGAAGATCGCTTCAATATCAGGAAATACTAACAGCCCTTAATATGATGGATATTCAAAGGATCCTACTTGGACCTACTTGTTTTTGAATTACAAATGCCATATAATAGAACTTATGAAGAGAGAAGTGGTACAGAGTAGAAAAATATTGGACAGAAAGAAATAATCATAATATCCATTATTTCTTATTTCTATGTTCCCAAAGGAGTTACTGTGGACGCTGGCGACGTGAAACAATATCTACAATGTTTAATGTTTTTCCAGGTCGGATGGGTGAAAGCTGACACGAAAGCCATTCAAGCAATTCACGACCACGTCATAACGCACAATCCCAGGGTATCGGTGTCCCATAATAATCACGTAGCCTGGAACTTAATTATCAAGAATATTCAGGAAGAAGATCGAGGGCAATACATGTGTCAAATTAACACCGATCCTATGAAAAGCCAGGTAAGAATAAAAGCTAAATTATGATTGATAATGACAAACGAAAATCCCCGGTTGTTTATCTTCTAATTACTTATTCCAAATATGAGTTTGTAACTTAAGTATTTCAAAGTGGCTTCAGAATTCTCACTGCGAACTACTTGCGGATAAATACTAAAGCTTTCTACTAACTTTTGCTAATTTTAAGTTACAACTAATAAGCTTTTAAGCCCGAATTCAAAGGATTAGAAACTCTTTTGTAAAACTTATTAAGCAAGACAACGAAAATTTCTCTCCACCCTAAGTTAAACGAAAACGTATCTTTTCGGATGCTTCTTAGCATGGATCTCAAGAAAACAAATCTAACGATGACATTTCAGGTGAAATGTGAAATTTCGAGATTTATTTTTAATTTAAAAATAAAATCAGTTTTTCGTAAACACTAAATCTCACGAGATTGCATTTACATACATTATAATATTTTGTATTATCAAATGCTGCCTGTTTAGTTACATTTCTTATGTACGATAAAATTAATAAAACCTGTTACTCATGCTAGTTTGCGTTATTTTTCATGGAAATCGGAATATTCTTGCTTCGCAAAAGTTGAAAGACTTTTTTACATGCTCGCCTTTTACATTTTACATGTTTTTTTTAATTTACCCTGGTATGTGTTTAACCTAATGGCTGGCCTTTCGAGAAACAGATTGTCAAGAATTTCAAATTTATTTTATGTTAAAGTCATCAATGAGTTTAGTAGTAGAATGTTTTTAATTGATGCATTCTGTTTATTTTTTATGTTAAATCAGAAACTGAAGTTTTCAATTTTCTTATTTACGAAACAAATGCGTCTCACCATTGCTTATTTGCTCGCCGATTTTCGCTCGAACTTTTACTAGCTGGCTTCATTGTTTTAATTCATAAAAACATCATCGACTTGATTCATAAAAAAATTATTTTTGAATACAAACAGCCTTTCATCATTGAGAGGTTCAACTAAAGTTTGAAAGAGAGACTTCTTCAACTTCTGATCAGTCCAATTTGAATTTAATTTACAAATTTATTAATGAAAGATTCAGTTTTGGGAATTGGATAAAAATTAATGTTTGGAAAAATCGAAATTAATTTGTAAAATGAAATTCTCTTCTTGCTAATGAAATGTGCAAGCCCAATTGCATAAACTTTCAAACATTCAAGAAAGTGCAGTTAAAGTTAATTTAATTATACCCGGTTGTGGTCCGGACACCCTCTAAACTCTCGAGTAAATAGTTCAAAGGCTTGGCAATTAAAGGAAATGTGAATTAAATTTATTGCCATCAAAATTAAAAACAATTGATGTTTTCTAGATCCAAAGGACAATGCTGTAAATCATTTGGAATGGTTAAGAGCATTTTAGTTTAATAAATGCAGTCTATTTATTACTCATTTGTTTAATTGCGTGTAGTTATTAAAAGGTAATTGATTTGCATTGTTATGTATTTATTGAATATCCGACGGAGTAGATAAAAATTTTTTTGCTATTACAATTGACGAATTCTTATTCAATGTGCAGGTTATTGATCAGTTCAGTTACCTTTATGTTTTTGCAAGTGTAATTTAATATTTAATGATCAAATGCCTCGTAAATTAAGTGACATTTTGTATACTTTTATGTATTCTTCGATTGCGGCACTCCCTCTCAAACGAGCTTTTTATTCGGTACGGCGAAATACTTGGGGTTTGGCATCGGTAAGTGGTTTCAAAAATCGATTGTTTAATAAAAATTTGCAAGGGAATTTGGATTGAAAATTACATTTGCAGTGACTTCTTAGAGAGTAACTTCAAAATATTTAGGCTCAGTTTCGATAAAGTAGATGAGATGAAGAACGCAATTGTAGAAATAAAGTCAGGAGCAGTAGAACGCCGAAAATTTTAAAGATATATGGAATTTTCTCAAACCAAAAAGCGGAAACGGTAAAACCGCAACTGACTTATATGCGTATGATAATGGATACGTCGAAAACACGGACTGTTTTTGCTCGTCAGCTTCCTAATTTCTAAGTTTTATTCGTCTTTAAAAAATACATTTTCAAGCTTCAGGAAATTATGGAAAACTTTAACTTGTACAAATGAATAAGACAAAAGTCAAAGGACTTTGATATTATCACTTTTAACCGGTTGGTTCCGTTCCGTTGCATGACGTAAAAGTGTAAATTTTAGAACCTGGATTTTAAATGCGATGTAATTCCTAGAATATTTAATATTATAAATTTGATAAATTTCTTGCGTTCAAGTAGCAGTACCTATGCTTTAAATACAGCAAATTGTAAGGGATCAGACAAAAAAAAGCTGAGAAAAACTGAAGTTTTAATCCTCCACCCAATAATAATAATTTAAAAATATTTTGCTAAACACAAACCTTGATTATAGGCTAATGCGCGGCAAATTG